AAATGTTAATGAGTTTCTTGTTTCATGGGCATCATTTTGCTATGTTAGATTCCAGCCTTAAAAACCAGCATTAGGGGACTCTGGTGGCCTAGTGGCAAGAAGCTGCACTGCAGTCCCGGAGGTACACGGTTTGAATCCACCAGATGCTCTGTTGGAAAAGGAGATACCATCTCCTCTTGTACCAGTCCAGATCTGATTTGATGGTACACACAAAAAAAACCATAATTTTAAAAGAACAAAAACAAAACCAGCAGTACTGTTAAGAATATGATGACAGCTTTGTTCTTTTCTCCTAGTGAATACTTGTAACCTGAACGCTTGCTGCTGTCGAGTTCAGTTATGACTCCTGGTGATCCATCCAGTGCTGTAAATCTTTACAGGAGGAGACTGGCCATCTTTTTCCTGTGGACTGCCTGGTGGATTCCAACTATAGATTGATCGCTTAGCACATCTATACTTCATGCATTATGCCACAAGAATTGTAGGGGTTTTCATGGGAAGTTTTAACTCTAGACATTCTTCATATGCATCTTAGTTATCTATCTTATAGAATAACAGGTGCATTTTTTTCCTTTTTCTTCAAAAAAGCTGCCCTTAAGGGATAGAAATAAATTCATTTAAAAAAGAATCGTGTGCTCGCTTTGGCAGCACATGGACTAAATTTGGAACTATACAGAGTAGATTAGCATGGCCCGTGTGCAGGGGTGATAACGCAAATTCATGAAGCATTCCATATTTTTTTAGTTCATTCCTTAAAGGCTCAGAACACAAAGGAGCCTAGACTGGGCGACACTGGAAAGAAAAGTGAACCTAAGAAACAGAAAAGGAAAAAAAAAAAAAAAGAAACAGAAAAGGGAGGGAAAAAAAATCATAGTCTAGTTTATAGAGATGTGCAGTAAGTGGATTTTGAAGCTCTATCTCACATACTTTGGGCATATATCCAGAAGGGACATCATGCTTGGAAAAGTGAAGTGACAGCACAGGCAAGAAAGACTCCAGATGAGATGGATTGACACAGTAACTGAAATAATAGGGGTAGATGCATTGACGACAGTGAGACTGGCTCAGGATCAGGCCAGGGTAGGGTTCAGAACTATTGTACATAGGGTTAATCACAGGTGACTCAGTGGCACATAACAACAATAAGTGGTAGTCTTTTGAGTGGTAACCTAGAGAAAGATTTAGTCCTATCAATATTTGAGTAATTGAGTTAGAGTGTGTTTCTAGAAGCTATAAATTTTTTAATAGTTAATTTTGTCAGTGTTACTTTATATGAACTAAACAACATAAAAAATATGCATGTTTATGTGATGGATGTTGTTATAGACCAATGAGTTGGAACTGACCCATAGCTGACCCTTCACTGAATTTTCAGGGGCAGGAAATCACGCAGGAGAAGTTTGGTCATCTTTCTCCCTTGTAGCAGCTGATAGATTTAGACTCTTGGTTTTTGGATTGTAACTAAGTCACCATGTCATATTTTTAAAAATTCATGTACATTATATTTTATACAATTATTTCATATTTGAACAAATAAGTTTTCATAGGTCTTTTTCTGTTTAAACATAAAACTAGTACAAATTCTGGATCAAGGAACAATGTAGAAAACCTAAAATCATAAACTTACCAAAAAATTGGTATAAATATAGAAGGCTTACTCTATGGTCAAAACAGACTGTCGGATACACTGAGAAATGCATAATCACTAGAGGGTAAACTAGATGAGAGGTCCTCCTGGAAAGGAATCCCCTAAATGCATCAAAAGAGAAGGCAAATCTATACAGACTGGGAAAAAATATTTGACAATGTGACACCTGGCAAGGAACTCAGTTCTAAAATGTATAGAAAACTCCACATCAGCAAGGAAGAAAAACACATCAACTACAAAATGAGCAGAGGACGTGAAGAACTTAATAAAAAAAAACTACTTTCAGATGACTAACACACACATATGTGTTCAAGATCATTCACTATTAAAGATATGCAAATTAAAAGAACAATGAGCTATCCTCTCACCTGGAAATAATAACAAACTTAAGTAAGACAGTAAAAAAATAAATGTTGGTGAGGTTATACAGAGATTGGAACTTCCTTATAATATTGATGGAAATGTAAAATGGTGCAGCCTCTATAAACAGTTTGCCCCCTCATTAGAAAGTTGGAAATAAGCTTCCCAGCTCCTGGGGAGAGCCACCTGGTATGTATGAAGAACTTTATTTAAGCCATTTTCCTCCATATCCTTCTCCATCCACCTGTAAGTAACACCTCCAAAGTGCTTTTCTTTTTAATTTACAAATGTGTTCTCTTTAGGTTTGCTCCCTTTCCTATATGTAATCTGAACAGTCTTGTTTCCACAACCTGAACCCTGAGCCTGGTTCCAGAGACAAAAGGGAAATATAACTGCTAGATAAGGAAGCAAAGGTGGATGGAGCCTGAAAGTTCAGCCAGCCACTCCCACTGGATTCACCTACACAAACACCTTGCAGTCCAGAGGAATGCTTGCAGCTTCAACTCTGACCACCACTACAGTGTTAAAATGGGCTATCTTTGCCCTTTATCTCAATGCCCCTGTTCAGCCTGAAGCAGCCAGAGACTCTGCACCCCTATTCTCAAATGCAAACCCCAAATTAAGACAGTCTCTTAAAAAAAAAGAAAATTAATCACCATTGGACTGTGCCCACCATTAACTTGTCTTTCAGTCCCTGCTGGATCTTTTTCATTTCCTTTACCCACTCCCTCAGCCCACCAAATTGTGCAACCCTGTGATCTCATCCCGACCAGCTTCACCCTTCTGCTCCGACCCCTTACCCTCTTGGAACCCCTATACATTTTTTTTTTACAATAAATAAAGGTGTTTTTTTTTAAGTTGGGGATAGAAAAACATTTGATCCAGTAATCCTACTACTAAGTATATAACCCAAAGAAACAAGAGCCACAACATGAATGGATAAATACATATCCATACTACTAACTACAGCATTATTTACAATACAATAAAAGAGTTGGAAATAAACTAAATATCCATTAATGGAGGAACGGCTAAAGAAACCAGTACATTCACACAATAGAATATGCCTCACTAAAATATGATCAGAAACTCCTAAAACAGTATGCACAACATATATAAATACAGAAGAAATAATGCTGAGGGACATAAGTCAGTCATAAAAGGTTAATTATAGTATACAACCACTATTATAAAAAACTAAGGAAAAATTTACTTATAGGGAGAATGATTCTTTTATGATTACCAGGGATTGCATAGTAGGGTAAGGAGCGTAAAAATTAATGAATAGATTAAGGTAGGTGTAGGAATATGCAGAAGGTCAAGGACTACAGCTTTCAATATGGATTGAAGCTTAATATCAAGAAGAAAAAGATTCCCACCCTGGGCCAATTGGCAGCATCATCATAGATGGTGAAGAGATTAAGATTGTTAACAGCTTCACAGTCAAAACTCTTGGTACCAAAAGCCAAGAATCAAAAGACGAATTGCAGTGGAAAAATCTGCTGTGAGAGACCTCTCTAGAATGCTGTAGAACAATCATAACAGTCTAGAGAGTAAGGTGTGCCTGATCCAGGTGATGATGGTCTTTGAAGTTAAATGCTGTGTATCAGAGAGCTGAACAGTAACTAAGGATGATAGAAGAATTGATGCCTTTGAATTGTGGTGTTGGAGAAAAGTATTCAATATACCATGGACTACGAAGAGAACAAGGAGATAAAACCAGGCTGCTTCTTGGAGGAAACGACTTTTTTTTTTTAACAAGTATATAATGCTTTAACATTTACACATCTTTCACATACATTCTCATTTGACCCTCACAACAACCCTGTGAGGTAGGCAGCATAGTTCATTCAACAGATAAGGACCATGACTTTTAGATTAGTTAACTGACATACTCAAGCTTCTAGTCAGTAAATAATTTGTACTAACATCAGTCTTTGGCCTAAAATTTCAGCACCTCCTCACACTTGCCCTTCCTACTTCACAGGGATAGTGAGGAGAAAATTAATTCAAGGCTAGAAAAA